ATTAGACTTAGGCCCTGTTGTTATTAGGTCCTTTGGGACTATTTTATATTGATGCATATTTTTCCTAGATCAGCCCAAAAGTGCAATAGGCACTGCCTCATATGCGATTTAACACATAACATACTTCAGAAATCATAGAAAGGATGAAAAGGTTTGCATTTGCTGATAACTATGAGTTTAAATACTTTGTTCACCCTGATCAGCTAGTTTTTTCCGAATAGGAATGGAAGTTCAACATGCATACTTTAGGAACATCTGTTTTCACAAGTGACAGTTTTTTCTTGTACTCTCAGACGAATCACCTACATTATCGTACACCGTAGGTTACCAAAGTTTTAGATTTGTAATTAATTTTATATCTTCTCTAGGTTTAATAGCAGAGGGGTTTGATTGTCATTCATAATATGATTTAATAATACCATATACCCTGCTAAAATATATCACAACATTTTAGTGACTAAATTTTCAGATTTATGAGACGCTGACAACAAAGAGCATACCAAAAGTTCCCTTGACACTAAATCATATCAAAACATAAAATAAGAAATGTTTAATCTGGATTCACAACAAATTTTGAAACAAAACTAAGGAAGGGAGGTTTAAAAATACATTGCATGTACATCGTCTCTCCATTGAAGGATTAATAGTGAATAAACAGCATAAGGATTACTTGATTGCATTTTCACCCCACATTATTCAAGCTGGTAAAATAGATTAGATACTAAATCAAAGCCTTTTTTCTCTAAACTGCTTCTTCAACCCTGTTAAAGAAAATCATTGTTTTCCCGTTTATCAAACACGGCAATTTCATTTTGACTGAGCTCTCTTTTTCTCCCCATTGTTCCCTGAAGATACGAGGCCTGACGATTTATTATAGACTTTTAGAGTGGTTTTGATATTTATGCTGAGAAGACAGGAAGGAAGATGGGACCATTCATCTGCTCGGGATGCTTGGGATCCTGGCCGTCTGCCCTCCCCGACCCCGACCGCCCGGCAAGTGGAGCATGCGGGCTGTTGTGGGCCGCGGCGGGGGGGCTGAGTGGGGGGCGGAGAGGACCACAGATGCCCTAAATGACTTGGCATGATGGGAAATAAGCGCAGGGTTAAGGAGCACGACTTCGCAAAGTAAATCAAAACAGTTGTTCAGTGATACAGTGAGACAGGTAACTATGGGAATGTTGTCAGAATTCCACCAAAGAATGACACCATTGGTTTTCAAGAATTGTTATTAGGGAATCCAGTTTTTGGTTTGGCCCATTGGTGTTATATACCATTTTTATTGCATCCTGGACTTGTTTCTCTGTAGAAACACGACGCTTTGCAACAGAATGAACGCCAGAAAGTATCGGCTTTGTGTCTCAACAAGAACGCCCCAAGAAGGCTTCAAACGTGCAGTTGAAATCACGCACACTCATCAATACCAGACCCACCAAAGAAGGGCCCCCATTAGATAGTAATATCATGTGGAAGACGGTGGGACGCAACCTAATAACATTACAGCAACGCAGACCTGCCAGCTTTCCATCAGGCCCCACAGTCTGCGTGCTGATAGCCATTCTGATGCACAAAAATCAGTTTGTTTCATGTTGGTTACTAGGTAACTTTAAACACGGAAGCCTGTAAAGCATTCAACAAGTGATAATCATCATCTAATAATACACAGGCAGTAACTTATCTCATACTGTTCACTTCTTACATACATGTTCATTATATTTAAAACCAGAAATCAATCCCACTTTATAGAAACATCATCGTGGTTACACATTAAGTGTTGATACATACATTGTATTACTGCAAGTAAAGTAAGTAACCGTTTACTCAGTTTATGCACTGCTGGAGAGTACACATAAAGGCGCCATATTATGGGCTCATATTTCATGGGTCATAATTATGGATTAGTGTCTCTCACTGTGACATGTTTCAAAGATGCTCTTATGATCAAACAGGTCTTTATTGTTTCTCAACTGCTGTGCTGGCAGCAACCCTACATCTTTTGCACCCTCTGTCTGAAACCAGAGCCCCAGTCTGATCTGATTGGTTAAGCGGTGGCGCAGCTCTTGTTTTATGAATTGGTCAACCGGCCCTCGTTGGAATTTCCGCGGTTTGGGCTAGCCTAACAACACATCAGCCGTACAATCAGTGTTGGACGCGCTAACCCATAATAACATGCACGCAGTGTTATTGTGATGATCAGCTAATGTTACAATACATAAAACAAAGGAGACCAACTGGATGCATGTTTTCAGGGCCGGGGGATGGGGAGTGGAGGTTGTGGGAAGAGAAACCCGCTGTGGCTTGACATTTGAGGTATATCCTTTGCAGACCATTTACATAAAACTTAATATATCACACACTACAGACAAAGAGGAAAACCTAAAAAAAGTATGATCAGTGCCCGCTTCAACAAAGACATAACAAATAATACAACTGAAATGAGTGTAAGCCAGTAGAAGTTATACCCAACTCATTGCTTTATGCTCCTGCAAATTATAAACACGCTCTCCCGTGACACGCATCTGCCCCCTCTGCACAGGCAGCGCTCAGCAATTGAAATGCAGGAAAAATTGAGGTTATCAGGTGGTAGTGCGAAAGAGAGAAAGGGGGGGGGGAGAGAAAGAAAGGGAGAGTGAAAATCCAAACTAGTCCCTTTAACTTTTTAAAGACTTTTCAGCATTTGTTCTGCACACTTACCTACGCAAACTCCAAGGGGCCACAGTGACTAGGGTCCCATTTCAGGCCCAGCGTGGAGCCGTAGAGCTCCTCAGCTGTAAAATGAGAGCGCCGGAGCGCAGTGTGAAAATGGATTAGCCTCGCTGAGATAAGGGGAGCCCTCAGCGAGCCATGCACGCCTTCAATGGGGAAAAAGAACTGCTGTACAAATTGTTTTTGGTACATTAAGTACCTGTTACTTTATTTCACAGATGGAAAACAATAACACAGGCTCCGGGGTTGGAACCACCGCTGCACCGAGGAATGCGAGAGATTTGGCCCACCTAGCGCCCTTTAGATTTCCCCGTCCTTTTTTCCCTTAATATGCAAAGTGATTTTCCTAAGGACTTGTGACTTAAAATTCAACAGATTGACAAACATAACATATGATGATAAATGACAAAGTGCCAGCTTGGCAGCCAGGTTACTGAGGGAAATCATACAGAATATCCATGTTAATAAAAAATAAAATCAAAAAGGCCTGAATGTTCCCACTCAGCAACCAGGGCAGGGATTTTTCATTAATAGGCCCGCTGCTGCACCAGGGCCCCCCAAATTAAATGAGTGTGTCAGATCCCGGATGATTTATACATTTGGAGTGATCTAACAGCTTTGTGGAACAGCTATGACACCCTGACAAGCCAACAATGGATATGAAAAATGAGCCAATACCACAGCACTAAATCTGAGACTTTCAAAGTCAAATGCACGCATACAATCGAAAGAACCTCTAACATACTCGCGAGTATAATGAAAATAAAGTAGGGGGGTGAAAAAAAAAGAAAGCGTGGTAGTACTTTGCCTTTCTGATGTCTTTCTGTGGCTGCGTGGAGAGCACATCACTTAAAATAGATATCAGGCCTATTGCTGAGCTTTGACTCAATAGGAAAATGTCAAATCAAGTTAGTGCCTAGGTGCTTTTCAAAACGCCTCAATCCTCCTCTATCAAATTGAAGGTGCACATGCAATTTATTGTGTATTTCTTTCCCTTTATTTAAAGAAAATGTTGCTGAGAAGCAGCAGAAGAAAACACAGCAGTGGCAAAAGCTGTGTTTATAATTATGTTGTGTGCAGGGCTAGTGGCCTAACTCACTTGTTAGATGAAGTGATAAAAACCAACATGATGGGCTAAAGCATTTTTGCTTTTCTTAGTATTGTCCTTTTACCCTCTCATTCTCTGTCTGATGAAAAACTGCACTTGGTGTTCCTCAGAGCTCAGCAGATTTAGAGGAAACAATTACCAGTCCGGTGATCTCTGCTTCTCCAGTCCCGCCGATAAACACCCGGCGCCCTGAGGTATGGTCCGAAAATGATACAATTTTAAACGGGTTAAATTTCATTGTTTCCCCCTCCCTTTCCCTCTCATTTTCCCCCACCCCTTTCCCTTCCTCTGAGGTTTTATTTCACAAAAGTGTGAACGAATTTTTTTGTCGATGGTTGCAGAAAAAAAGGCAGAAACGATAAAGAATATGAAAGGCCCATCTTCACAGAACATTAGACATCACAAAACAACCCAAAGCTATGATCGGATATATCAAAACTGACAAGTAAAAATTGATTGTTGAGTGTCTATTGATTGAGCTATATTTCACTTGGAGAGCACAGCCTCATAGTTTTCTTCACACAGTGCACCAAACCCTGCTGCAGACACATTTCATGGAGATAGTCTTCGGAAATACACATAAGCATCATACTGCAGCTGGTAAATTTATTATTATATAAACACATAGCAAGTTACGTCTGGCAGATATTATGTTAAAGCTTAACATGTAAAATAGATCATAAATATATAATGATGTAAACCTTCACTGGTCATGGTATGCAGATCTAAATGATGCTGCTAATGTGTTTATGGATTTCCACCAATGTACCTATTCATGCATTATAAAGTATTTAACCAAATCAATTTGTAGGCTAACACAGATGTATATATTGCAATAATTCCTACATTTATAAGGAAACTCCGCGAAAAACTTTTACATTAAAAAAAGAAAATTGTGTGTAGCCTATCCCGCCCGTGATTTGGACACGTTCACCCTTCCACCAAATTTCATGAAAATCAGGCTAGTAATTTTTTGGAAATTCTGAAACCTTACCAAAAGTTAACCCAAGTGAGTGTTGCAGATCCAGTGAAGGATTCCTTTGACAATTTGAGACACACACGTTTTAGCTTTTTCGCCAAAACATTACCATACCATGTACACTAAATATTAAGCTACAACCATTTGTATTAGCATTAGCTTAACGTAGCATCAAGACTGAAAACAGTCAACAGGGCTCTGTCAAAAATCTTTGCATGTTTAATTATGTAATATGTTTGTCTTAATCTGGAGAGAAACACAAGGGTTAATGAAAAATTGCCCATGTTGCGTTAGCTCCATATACAGTATTCAGAAATGTTTTAACTCTTGGCAAGGCAGCAACTAAGAATTTCCTCAAATGTCAAACTATTGTATTAATGATTGTTACAAGTTGAGTTTGTCAGGTGATGGTTACAGTTAGGTATACATACATTTTTAGAAAATAAAAGAATGGAGAAATACAGAAGAGGAGGTGATGACACAGATAATGGAGGACAGATTGAAGCTACCATAGTGGTGAGAGGTTAAAAGGTAAAGCAATGATTTATGGGAGGTAAAAGCAGAGTTAGGTCATGAGAAAGGTGAGGGACTTGGACGGTGAGAACTGGCAGAAATGCGCCTGCCGTAAGTTTTCCAGATTCGATTTGCCAACATGACATTTAGTTATGACGAGCACACAGTTCTATGATCATCCGTAATTTGTGTCTTTATCCCCCACAAGTAAAAGAAAGAGACAAGGGGGAAAGAAGGGGATGAAAAATAGGAGAGATGCTGACAGCGGGTGAAACACTTGAGCTGTAGAGAAGGCCGAGTGTACCGAACGCAGCACAGCCGGGGAGTGATTGAATGATCCCATTCTGGGCTCTTTGTTAGACACTAGGCAGCGATGTATGAAGATTGATACACAAGTGCTCGACTCGGTTTGCTGGATCATCAAACGGATTGATATTATACTCCAGCCAAGGATGAAGACAAAGTAAGTGTTATCATACTCAATACTGGGGCTTGTCAGAGGCGGGAAATCATCCAGTGTCACTGGTTATGGGAGCATTTCACAGACTGTCATGAGAATTTATCTGGGAGATGTGGCGCTCTATGGCAGTCTGCAGCTGACGGCGGATGCCCTACCGTAAAGATCTGAGCTAAAGATTGAATTACAGCATCGTGCTTTGGACTGCATTTATTTCACTACTATCATGTTTGTCCCTGCAGACGCTGTAAATCCCCCGGTGTTCTTATCAAGCGACCATTTATTGTCGTTCAAATAACATTATTCATGGTGATATCATTATTTA